CAGTTAGAGCAAGTATTTGGAAAGCTGTTTATGTATATAGTGTAGTATTGATATCATATTCTTTCTAGATGTTCAAACATGAAAAAATGTTGCATAATTTACATTTAATTCTGTTATCTTGGTATAATCCAATGCAGAAACTACACACTTCTTGATTAAGAGATTTAACATGTGTAAAGTGGAAGAAATATACACATTAAGTGTGTTAACTAGATAAATTGTAAATCATACTCATATTTTATATTTAATTGTAAAAAATCTTGTGATTACATTTAAATAACCTTTCAGACTTTTCTTAGTTTCTCATCATAAAATGTAACTATACAGTACTGAAAACAATTATGGAAGCTGTAAAATGCAAACATTATGATTACCCCTCTACTACAAGAAACTGAACTGCAGCAGAGCACAGTATAGGCAATCATACTATTCCCAGCAGTAGTGTGGTGAATGCATTCATGGCTCTAAGAACAGAGATAGCAAATGACAAAAGTTTTTGCTGGTAAAGGCTACTCCATGCAACAGATTCAGAAAAATTTCACATTTCAGTAGGAGCTGTATGGAAACTGAAGAAGGAACGTGAAACTGGTACTGCTTATAATAGACTAGCATATACCCTGTCAAAAATGATGGAGCAAGTACTACCACCTCCACCCCATTGGGAAGTCAAGCTTAACCAACAAAGAAGCAGAAAAGTGCATTTGAGGCAGTGAAATGTCAGTAAATTCCTTTGTGAGCCAATCAAAATTAAGATCATTATGAAATGAATTTGTGGCATATTCATAGAATAATTATTGGTACAATCAGTTAGATTAACAACTTGTAATATATAGAAAAGCCAGTGTGTTTTGGTAACACCTCTTTCCAACAATGGCTTTTTATGACATGTTGCTTAGCAACAAAAGTATAACCTAATATTCTTGTTAGTCTATGTACTGAAAATATAAAATGAAATATATAGACAACAAAACTGGAAAAATAATTGTTGATTTCTAAACTTATAGAGTCTCCATTGATTAAAGAGGTTTGTTTTTTATTAAAAACTTTGGTGATGTAACAGAAAATAGCTTAATTTAAAAATGATTTAAGTTTAAAATTTAATCGATATTTTTACTTTCATGATAAATTTTATGCACTTTGCTCTAGGCTAGGTGATCCCACACTACATATTTACTTTAGGTTTATTATACCAATACTCACTACACTTATAAGGTTTCACAGCACACACACACCCCTCATGACTCCCTTGCACCCCATTATAAAATTGTAATGAGCAGACAGTGATCAAACTACTCTACCTGGATGAATGAATTTTGGCTTTTATGACTCCTCCTATTTTGAGAAATCAAGCATGACATGATGTGACACACTGGCTTTTACATAGGTTAGATGTGTTTGAGGAAGAATGCCCAAATTCTTAAAAAATAATGTTAAATAATGTTATGTGAGGCACAACACCCAGTAGAGATCCTTCCAATGCACTAGCTATTACCTCCATAACAGTAAGATACATATTAGTACAAAATGACCTCAATGGATGTGTAGCTGCTCAAAGAAAAAAAACATAGACAAGATAATCAAACCAAAGGACTGAAATTGGCATCACACTTTAATGATTAATACAATTTCAAATTGTTTGGCAGCAATCAACAATATTTTGTTCAATAACTGAGAGAACAGTATCACGGTCAAGGTAGATCTAAAGTGAATCATGCTAGGGAGCTAATGTAGCATGGGCTGCATCTTAACCAATGGTGTGGAGATATGCATAAAAGTAACGGCACCCTGGATGCTGAGAGGTACAAGTGGATTCTTATCCATCATGTCATTGCCTCAGGAACAAGACCTGAAGGTTCAGAGATTCATCTTCCAGCAAGATAGTGATCTCAAGCACACAACAAACATGAACCAAATAATTGACTTCCAACTACTGTCTACGAGACTGAGACCTAGAATGTCAAGACCAAGACCTCCTGAAGGGTGGTCTCAAAAACTACAACACTGGTTCATACTCAGCCATCATATAAAATTTAGAATATTTCTTAAAAGTTCTAGTTATTGAAAGGAATAAATTATACATCCCAGCATTTCCCAACCTTTGTACCAGGGACCAGTTCGCTGCCTCCGTAAAGTGATAGTACAGTAAAATCCCATTACAATTTACATATGGACATTTTGTCAGTTTTTGTTTATTTGTTTTTGTGAAATCCTACAGACCAGCAAGGTCGTTGTGATGGACCAGCACCAGTCCACAGACTGTAGTTGAGAAACCCTGACATACATGTCCCATTCCTAGTTCTTGTACCATCATTATGAAGAATTAGGTATGATTTATCTACATGCATTATAAATCATAAGATATTATGATTAAAAGTAAAGAAGAATGTAATCATATGTCATCCACACTATATCTGCTATATCCAGTGATGATGAGGTCTTCTGCCCAATACCAAAACACACCAGGAAGCAGTGATCGACAACTATATCATCAATTGCTTAAACAATAACCGTTTGTAACTGAACTCAATTAAGCTGTCACTTCTCTAAACATGATTTGGCAGTGAGAAACCTTAGGTCCAGTTCATAGGAAGGTAAGGAAATACTACTTGGTCCAGTTCATAGGAAGGTAAGGAAGTACTACTGGGTCCAGTTCATAGGAAGGTAAGGAAGTACTACTGGGTCCAGTTCATAGGAAGGTAAGGAAGTACTACTGGGTCCAGTTCATAGGAAGGTAAGGAAGTACTACTGGGTCCAGTTCATAGGAAGGTAAGGAAGTACTACTGGGTCCAGTTCATAGGAAGGTAAGGAAGTACTACTGGGTCCAGTTCATAGGAAGGTAAGGAAGTACTACTTGGTCCAGTTCATAGGAAGGTAAGGAAGTACTACTTGGTCCAGTTCATAAGAAGGTAAAGAAGTACTACTTGGTCCAGTTCATAGGAAGGTAAGGAAGTACTACTTGGTCCAGTTCATAGGAAGGTAAAGATGTACTACTGGGTCCAGTTCATAGGAAGTTCTAACTAATTTGGAAAAAAAACACTTAATTTTTCTGTTTTTAATCACTTTCTTCAACCATCACTCTCTCTCTCTCTCTCTCTCACACCTGAGTTATATATTTTTTACACTGATGGATATTAAAGTTTCAGACTAACACACTTTATATCATGACAAAAAAGTTCCATGTGAAGTAGAACCCGTACAAAAAGTTATATTTAAAGAAATTTATTTCAAGTAATCATACTTACATAAATTTATTTTAATACAATAGTTATTTCCTTTTTAATAATTTTTATCATTTTCATCTTATTGCCTGATACTCCCCAGGTGAAAACTTTTGTTTTAGAATAAGGTTGATTACTCAGTGCATGTACCATACAGAGAAGTACTCAAATGTTCTTCAGTTATACTAGCATAGTACTTTTAATAATTTAATGATTTGTTTTGGCATTGCACAGAGAAAACAAAATATGATTTCATAACTGGCCTTTTTAATCAATGCAGTAAAATATACAACACCTTTCCTTGTGTTAATTCATCAGTACTACACTATATATGTAAACAGCTTTCTAAATACTTGCTCTAACTGTCTAACAGCATATTTATATCAATACTACACTATATACATAAACAGCTTTCCAAATACTTGCTCTAACTGTCTAACAGCATATCTATATCAATACTACACTATATATGTAAACAGCTTTCCAAATACTTGCTCTAACTGTCTAACAGCATATTCTACAAGTAACTATAAAAAATTGTTGATAATGTTCAAGTTGAGTGTATATAATTAGAATGTGATGAATGATA